TGTTTACACAACACAAAAAGTGGCGATAAGGCTATGATTACAGCTCGGGGCCATCACTGGCATTACTAACTTCCATGTACAGTAATTTTAGTTTTGCCATTTGATTGCGGTGTGAGGGCGGAGATGAATTCATACATACGGAGTTCTGTACATCTACACAAGTGGCATGCACGGTACTGAGAAGTTGTTTGTTGTTCCCTTATCCGTTCCCAAATCCTTGGAAGTTCTGGAGGTGGAGAGGGCCACGGACTGAAACCATGATGGTGCCTTCATTCCCAAGCATGAGGATTTGGGCAGCAGATTGCCAGCTGTGCTTGGTGCTCATCCTCACACAGGTGAGCCTTCAGGCAACAAGCAGCCCCTCCCCGGTCCCCCCCAGCTCCCCCTGTGCAGGCATGTGGGGCCTCTCTAGCTACTTGAAAACAAAACTTGGTGCAGTCATTTCCCCTAAAGACATTTATCTGGCAGGCTTTGGCTTTGCCCTCCAACTCTCCGCTCAGCAGAGTCTACGTTACTACTTCAAGTTATTCAAAGGTGTTTTGTTAACTGTTATTTTCCCAGTGTTTTGGACCAAGACTAAGTTTCCTGAGAATTTAAATACTGAAGGTGAATGTAAGCAAACCCTACTTACTCACCCAGGCTGACCGATGCTCAGGAGAGCATCACTCAAGCACTTTCTGATTGCTTGCAACACAACTTTTTTTTTTTTTTTAATGTGCCTTAACCAGCCTCCCAAATGATGAAAACTGTTTTAAAGGAAAATATGGACATTTTCTTCTGGACCTCATCCCTACATGTATAGCTTTAGAATCACGTCCAGGTAGATTCTTGATGAATTTCAGAAAGCATTAAGAATTTCACACTAACTAGGTAACATGAACTCTGGTTACTACTGTCCACCAAAGAGAAAGGCCTCCAATGCCCTGCTCTGTTGAGAAGCACTCTTAAATACTCATATGAAATTTGGTAAGTCTTAAATATATTCGTGTAATGATGGGGAGGGAGGACTACAACACAGCCATTATGTATAGATCTTGCCCTTAGAATTGTTAGGACACTTGTCTTTAGAATCTTTTTGAACACTATTGATAAAAATTGGGTATCCTCTCTTGAAGCTTGGTATATAAACTTTTAACACCTATAAATGAATGAGTTAGAAACTCCACATAAATTGCAAGTTTCACTTACCTTGTTAATTGTATTTTTAAATCACATGCTAATCCTATTATACACAGAACTTAGATGAGAATTCTGTTTTCAGCAATGGCCATAAAGGCTGAGGTGCTAGAGCAGATTGTGACCATCTGTCTAGTTTGAGCCAGGGTATTTTAAGACTGCAGAAAAGAGAGGACTATAGGATCATAGGCAGTGTCCAGGGTTAACTGATTCCTCGATTGCCCTCCTGCCACTTCAAATGTTTCCATCTAGGAACGTCTCTTGAAAGGTGAGTTTGGCATTAGCACCTAACATACTTTACTAGGAAACTGGGTAAAGGGCAGAAATGCTCATATGATAGTTGGGCAGGGAACATGTTAATCAGTGTTCGGACTCAAGGATACCTCAGTATCAAGAAACCAAAGTTAAAGTTCTTTAGTACGTTCGAGTGGGAAAATTTAGATTTCTGCCTTAATTCTCTAATAAATAGCTTCTGATTTTGGCCAAGTAAAGAATGAAGAAAGCAATCTGTAACTCGGATTACTTTTACAGGAGATGGTCTTAAAGTAACCCATCATAAAACTAGAGCATTTAATGGAGAACCGTGGACCAGAGGCTCAGCTCATACAAAGTTCTCTGTCTACGACTTGGACTTGTGGCATCTTCTTCCCCACAGAGCACTGATGTCGTTACTAGGTATGATCACGCTGGTTCTGACTCAGTGACCCTGTTCACAGCAGAACAAACACTGCCTAGTTTTCACAACTGCTGCTACATTTGAACCCGTCTTGTTGAGAATCTTCTTTTTCATGGACCTGCTACCATACCAAGCATGAAGCTCTTCTGGAATTAGTCCTTCCTGATTATGTGTCCCAAGCACGTGAGACAGCCTTGTCCTCCTTACTTCTCAGGAACTTTCCGGTTTTGCTTCCTCCAAGATGATCTGTTTGTCCTTTGGATGCTTCATGGCATATTAAATATTCTTTGCCAACACTAGAATCCATTTGTACAGCACCGCTATATGTAAAAACACTTCTGGCCATTTTTAATATCACACATCCTGAGCCAGTCTCTAGGAAATATAGTTCATGGTAACCAGGTACTCTGTTTTTCTTTTTTCTTTTTGTTTGCTAATTGAACTTTAAAACCTCTGCATTTTCTTTAAGGTTTAAGCCGTAACAGTTCTGTGTTAAATTAAATGGACACTAAAAACAACTAGCATTAAAGTAGAAACTGTGCAAGACACTGGAATCTCACTTAGGCATCATGCACTACTAAAACCAATAAAAGAGAGAAGGAAGCAAGCCAGATGCTTCGAAGGTGTACACTCCTTCATGTTGTCTTCATTCCATCATATCAAATCAAGTTAGTGTCTCTCAAAATGTCAGTAATATTAAGAAGCAATGTTATAACTCAATAGAACTTCAAAGTACTATAATTTAACTATTAAAAATCAAACTAGTTTTAAGTTAAATGATTTCAAGAATAAGAGTTTGATTTATAACAATGCCAGTTGGACACTGATCTAAACATTTGAAATGTAAAAATAAAGTTAAATACAAGAAGAATTCTTTGAAAATATTTAGGAAAACGCAATATAATAGATCATAAATTATATGTAGCAACAGACTTATAGACATTTCCTATATATATATTTTCAAATATTACCAAAGTGTAAACATAATATATGATAAATCACTCAACTTCTATTTCTACTCTTGAAATGAAGACAGTCAAATTTCCAGTGCAATCCAGTTCATTTTTTCCAAAGTTAAGCAAAAATCACAAACATTCACCAAAGCAAGCTTTAGCATTACCAGTTTTGGACTAACGTAATCTTTCAGCATTAGAAAGATATGATAGATTTTGTGGTTCATTAAAAGTGGTTTCTTGCTTCTCAGGGTAGGTATTAATAAACAGCAGAGCACCAGATATCTCCAGATAGTAACAAAGTATCCAAGCATGGCAGTTTCATTATCACACCTCAAATAAAGATAGAAAGACACACATAAAGGTTCTGATAACCAAAAATAATGTTCCTTCATGTCTGTGTTTCTGAAGATCAAATAATAATTTGTACCTACTGACGTAGGACAGAAGCTTAACAGATAGATAATACTTGGGTATTAGAAGGACCTTGTCCTGAGGGGGAAAGGAGAATAATACTATTTCTAGCTTAGACAATTCCGGAACTTATACAAGAAAAAAACCAAAAATCATAATGTTCAAAATAAGATATGGAGTATGGGTGGGAGCAACTTCAAGTGATCCGTAATCAGAATTCTTTCGAAGTCTATCCTAAGCTTTGCAGATGGAACACAGCTGAGAAAGGGGTCAGAACTGCCGGGAGCAGAGCAGTGACTTCCATAGAAGAGAATTAAATAAAATACTTCTGGCCTCGTCTTACTCGGAAATGTGTCCCTTGAAAAGGTTGGTGGGTGACCTCAGTTTTTAACTCAGTGCAGCAATAAGATCTGATACATTAAGCATAAAAAGAAGTTGAAATAATTTAAAATTTCTCAACGAGTTTATTCCTCCTCCTTCTGCATTTGGCTCCTGAATTTGAATTAATTTGGAGAAATACTGAGAACTTTAATACTGGCTTTGAAATAAGTATCATTTCCTCCATTGCCAGACTGGATTCTATGATGCCTTAAATAAACTTTACTGTAAAATGGAGTTTTCTAGAGAACTAAGGAAGGATAATGCTTCAGAAAAAGAATTTAAAACAGCTCTAAAATATGTGATAGCTCTCCTTCACAGAGACCAATTCTGTTTGCTTAAAATAAACAAAAGAGGTCCTCTGGCTTATTGTTGCTCAAATCTGAGCTTTCTTTAACTGGCATTTCCATTTTTCTTAAATGGACATTTGTTAAAACACTAACTGAGCTCCCTTGGGTGTTTTATACGAGAAAAATATGTGACATGTTCCTAGCTGGTCAGAAGTTCCCCAGGAGAGAGGTCTGAAAAGGGAGGTTTCCTTAAAAACCAATTTCCCGTGCAGAATTTGAGAGTTTAAAAAGGTGACCATATTGTGTGTGTGTGTGTATGTGTGTATTACTAAACTACCAAATATAAAGCTGTAGCAAAGTAAATAACAGATCTCAATCCCCCATGGCTGCATTACTGTCTATCTTCTTAGTTTAACTCTATCTGGAGGATATATATTTACCCTCAGAACCTCACTGTAATGTCCACACCCATATTTTTAAAGGCTTTGTCTCCCTCTGGGGTTGACATATTACCCATATCTCTTCTGATGCGCACCAGCCAACCAGAATTGCCTGCTTGCCTCTTCCCATCACAGGTAATCATGCGACAGGGCACCTCCCTTTCCAGAGTGGAGTCTCTCCCTGACCAGACACTGTGAAGAGGAGAAGCTTCTGTTTCATACTGGGACAGTTTCTACAGCCCTAGAAGATTAGAAGAGCGTACTAACCCCAAGTTCCAGAGTCGGGTAATGCTTTCTGCCACGCAGATGTCAGTTTCAGAATCCTATACTAAGAACTCCTGGTGCTCCACTAACAACACCAGAACGTCGCGTGCTCTTACTGGGCAGGGCCACACTGGTTCTCTAAGTGACACAGCACACCCAACACAACACAAGACGTTGGTGAGTAAGAGGCGAGAGAAACACCGCACATTTGTATCTCTCACAGATGAGATCCCTGGTTTGTTAATTAACCAAAGATGGGCTGGGATTCGTTCAATAAATTAAGTCAGTGTATTCTATTATTGCAGAAAATGCAGTTATTCGATACATGGTCCCTTAATCTGCTTAGAGTAGTGTTCCCCTTGCCATCAGTTTCATATTTTTTTGTCTTTGATGAGAACACAGAGGGAATAGGTGTTCTCTGGAGCATCCCCCCTCTGCACCGAGGTGTGTGCTACGGCTCACTAGCACCCTGGGTTGCATCTGATGGGGTCTTTTCTGTCTTTTTGGACTTCCTTTGCATTTGATCTTGTTCCTTCCGTCTCAGCTTTTCTCTCTGTTTTTCCATTTTCTCTTGAGCCTTCCGAGCCTTCTCTAGAGACATCTTCATCTCCTTCAGTTTTTTTTTGACAATTGCTCGGTCCTGGGATGATGTCATTCCAAGCCCCTAAGAAGGAAGCACAGACACAAAGCAAACTTCAAAAACCAGTGACCCCTTCTGCTTATATGAGGTTGACATCACACTGCATTCAAACCCACAGACTAATGTAAGCACAGATAGATTAGGAAGAGCTGATAATAGCTGCCAAAGATACACTGGACGGTTGTGCTTTACTTGTTCTTTTAAGACTCCAGCAGAGTACAACCTAAACCTCACGTCTGAGTTTAATTAAGTAAATGCTTTTCAAATTTGTAATTAATAAATGGATGGATGAACAAAGGGCTCAATTATGCTTCTCCAATATTTATAGGCAAAAGTATTGTTACATTCATCAGTATTTCCAAAGAGTAGGAGTCGACACGTGCTGCTAGAAAGGACTCCAGGAAGGACAGGTAGAATGCAAATGGCTTCCTTTGTGCGTATGCACTCATTTACAATGAGAACCCAATATGTCTTTGGGACCAGAACGCTCCTGTCAGCAGGACTAGCCATTCTCTCCATGTAGGCAGACCTATAAAAGCAGCCTGATTATAATGAGAAGGCTGTTTGACGAGCTGAGAATTCAGAATAAGGAGAGTTGGTTCTATACTTTAAATGTTTCGTGACCTTAAGAATCAACAGCCGGATGCATCCGTCTCTCTGGCAGGGACAGCCTTGTCAATGGCGCCTTCATATTCACAAGCTATTGACTGATTTCTAACCTTTCCAAGACTGACAAAAGATACTCGTCTGTCTATCAAGTCTAGCAGGGGGTACAGGGAGAGCTGCCTCTAAGTTCCTTTCTTGCCCTTTTTCCACAAAGGTGGCCACTACCTCAGTCTGGACTGGATGAGTGGAAATGAGAGTATGATGAAGGGACAGGGAAGACAGGGCCTGAATGTATTTGGGGAGACATCTGGAGTGGTATGTAGGGAAGCAGGCTGTGGAGAAGACATAAATAAAGCAGGGGAGACTTGTGGATTTCATTCTAAATTCTGATATGATCAAAGAGTCCATACTGGTTATTATGAAAATTATTAAGTAGACCTAATGTAAGAACCATGTATAGCCAGGCAGAAGCAGTGGAGTGGTCCCTAGTTCTCCTAATTGACAGCCAACTGCCTGACCAGATAATCAAAGTGTACTATTCAGAAGTCAGTCAACATCCTTTCTGCAGACTGAGAATTCTCTCTCAGATAAGCAGAAAGCTCCTATCTTATGAAAACACTTTGGGTGCTACGAGTAATAATAAATTATACCTGATAGGCAACCTGACACAGACGTATCATTCTTTACCTTAAGTTTACTTCCGTCCAGCTGCAGGAGCTGCTCTCCAGTGATGTTTTGGGCACTGAATTCAGATACATACTGCTCCAGGTTTAGACTCATCAGCCAGTGAGAAACCTGCTGTGCACTCCACTCCTGAACGGCCCGACCGTGACACTGACTGTGTTTGGGAGACTGTCCGTCATCAAGGATCTGGGATAGGAATGTCATGAAGTGTCGTTAAAGGACCACAATGCTGTGGCTTTAGCACGGTGCATGGGCTTCCTGCCACTAGAGCCACATCAGTTTTTAAATTACAAAATGATACGTTAAGGGTTCTAGTTGTATATACAAAGAGAAACATTTTTTATTATCTACATGGTTTTAGGTACTCATAAATAAAAAACGGTTTCATATAAAGCAGTATTATTAACGTCTAACAGTAAAGAGGCACTCTGGTGTTGTAAGCTTGTACATGAAAACATTTTGGAAACATTATCACATCTAGCAAACAATCATTTCATCACTCATCTGTAGATGCAATGTAATACTCTGTGCTTGTTCTGTTATTATAGATAATTAAAAATACATTTAAAAAATACAATGGTATCTTTCACTTGGAATAGGAGAGCATGAAGCCCTCAAGCATCCTCAGGGGAATGTCATATCCATTAAAGCAGCAATGCAAATCTGTGAGTAAAACCGAATAGGTCATGTTCACAATCATGAAGTCTACATGATCAGTCCAAGCGGGAAAGCTCAATGATGTGCTTGCATTCCCAGCCCCAGGCTTTGTCCAGAGCGTAAAGTTACTTTAATAGTGAAAGGTGGCAGGTCATTCCTACAACTACTTCTCTGAGAGGAGCTGAAAGTGATGATAGACCAGGAAGACAGATGTCACCAAGGTGACTCAGTGGGCAGAAGACAAACGGGGATGGGATAAGCTGGAATGAGGGCAAAGAAATGAAACGGAATGGACGATATATCAGGGTAATGGTGATGGGACACAAGTGAGGGACTCTGGGGGTGGAACTGGAGATCCCCTGAACACAGGAAACTTTTACGTTCAAAACATCTCAAGTTTAAAACTTTTTAAACTAATAAATAGAGAAGGGCAGGGAGAAAAGCTATTTAACACTGCCTCCCTGGGGAGGAAAAGGTGTCTTGCATTGTTGAATTTGTGTATTAGCAGCAAAGTGAGAAAAGAAGGTTCAAGCAACATCACATGAGCCACCACACACAGTTCACTGATAGCTCACCTCGTCATCTATCATATCCAGGCTCTGAATGAGGGAGCAACAAAGAAATAAAAAAGAAAATGTGTTACAGAAACAGGACACACATACATACACAGTGCAAAGTTTTAGAAAAAGTAAAATAGCACTAAGCCTGAAGGGTATGGGCAGAAAAGCTTAAGAGAAATTAAAAAAAAAAAGTTTTACAAAACAAAAATTGTGTTAGAAAGGAAAAAAATATTAAGAGCCAAAACATCTATGTTTATCCCTCCTCCTCCCCTAAGATTCTCTTTTTTCTACTTATCTCTTGGGGAATTAATTCAACCACATATGTAATTCCCTATTTTTTTTTTGCTCGTTTTATGCAACAGAAGAAAAAAAAAGAATTCATTTATATTTCATTTTAAATATAAAACCACGGCCCTAATGGGTAATATCTACCCCTCAAACTTTCATTTTTCCTAGAGAGAGTTCTTCGATAAATGGTATCATGTGAGAAACCCATTCTATCAGAAATTACAGGCACGTACCTCATCTGATGACAGTGCTAAGGACTGAGAAAGCCCCGGTGTCTTAGGTTCTGCTCCCAAGCCACTCAAGTCTGCTGAACTGGTACTGCTGGGGCTGAAGTCATCATTGAAGGTAAAATTCTGAAAAGATAAATAAATGGAGGGCAGCATTAAGTAAGCACAGTGAGTGAATCCGAGGCAGGTGTGTTTCCAAGTTCTAAAGAGGCTCACTGTAAACACCACTACAAAAAAATTCCTGTTTAGTTTGGTGATGACCTTCAGCCAGGCCATGGTTCAGAACATCGCCTTTTTCATGGCTTATTGGGAATTCTGGGCACTCTCTTCATTTGCTAAAAGGATAGTGTCTTCAATCTCTCTTCAAGGGTACAGAATTCATTGTCCTCTTGCAACTGCTCAGAGGAGTAATATTAATAAGCCTATCTTCTTTGGCCCTAATCGTGATGAGTAACTGTGTAAGTAAAAATACAACATGGCACGGAGAGGCTGAGTTATTAGGAACAGATGGCAATGCATATTAGAAAGGTAGCTACAACACCTCTTGGGAAGAATTGCTTGCTGTTGACCATGATAAATATTGTGAGAAATGGTAGATCCTGTCCTGGATATACCCTTCACGATGATGAGTTCTGGGGGAGGTCAGAGTCCAACAATACACCAGGAGGTACATGCTAAAATATAACCCTCCCAACAGCTCCAGCCCATTATCAAACAGGCTGCAGTAGAGAGTGAATACACATTGTTAAATAAAACTTCCCCAGAATATCATTAGAAGCACTCAGTGGAAATTAAAATAAAATAAATTAACAATAGCTATGCAGCCATACTGAGGAAAATACTTTAAACAAGTCTAAAGGCTCTTAGTAAAATGGAATAAAAACTGGTATTTGTCATTATTTGAATAATGGTAGTGCTATTCAAACATTTAAATGTCTCTGATATGATACTGAAAAAGTAGAACACCCAATGTACCCTGCTGATGTCAAAACTTTTCCTAATAATTCTCCATCGCTGGCGCTCAGCAACTCTTAAACACTTGACCGACACCATTTTGTTTCAAATTCCAATTTCTTAAAAACTGACTACTAAGTTTTCAATTAGTTTCTTTTGTATTGAGTTCAGTTGCTTGTCAAGGATAAATACCATGTCAAAGGCTAGAGAATTCTGCACTAAACAAACTCTAGGGTTTTTCCAAGTGGAACCTTAAATCAAAGCACACAGAGACATAGGCTAGTATGAACACATAAGCAGAAGGGCATTTAACATAGAACTTTACCATTTGACATCATCTATGGAGACACTATGTCAAATAATAGGTTCAAACCCTTTGAGCTGTTGACCTCAGGAAAAAAATTCAAGTAACATTACTCACTGTTTGAGAAAGAAAAGCGAACACAGATAAAAGGAGACCAAACAACACATGAAAGTTAGCCACTGTATAAAATGTTAGGTAAGGTTTGCAGTGTCATGCTGGAAATAATCATCATGCATTTAAAACCAACTTAACACCCATGTACATAATTCCTAAAAGTAGTAATTCTGCTAAAGTGAAAGAACTTTGATGATATAATTACAACAGTTGATCAACATGGCAGTTTAAGGGTGCTATGTCAGCTTCGGTTTGTTTCTAAAAGTTTCACTTAGATGTACTGAACACATTTTCAATCTCAAATTTACGTGTTTTCCAGTGGATCCTGAAGAGCACAGCAAAGCGTTTTGTAATGTAATTCAAAGTGGAATACTCGGTAAAAAAGTCTATCATACTGTTCAATGATTCAAATGCCCCTTTCCCAGCATGGCCTAACTGTCAAACTGAGATTAAAAAGCAATATGTGAAAAGACAGGCAAATCAAAGAGTAATGTACAATCTAGAACAGAGTAGTATCAAAGAGGTGGAGGTTAAATCAGGCTTGTTCTTGCCCATACAACAAATACCATGCACTGTTTATTGCAGTGTTACCACATTTGCGGATCCAGAGAATACACACACAAGCTGAGAGTGCCTTCCAAGGGTTGAAGAAGAGGAAAGGTTTGGGTTTGTCTTGTTTGGGTTTTTAATTCATTTTGTTTTCTACCTTGGACCCCTTTTTATCTGAATTTAGACTCTCAGGAGAAGGCTGAAGGGAAGTTGTAGGTGAAGACAGGTTGCTGAAGGAATAAGATCCTTTTCTGCTTTCATGAAACCACGAAAAAGGCACGCAAGGTGAGCGAGTAGAGGCTTGAGCTGTGGACGCCTTAGTTTTCCAGTTTTCCAGCTTCACTCTGAAGACCCTGTTGTGGAAAAGCAAAGGGTATATTCAGACAGTGAAGGTGCAAATGGAAGACACTGTATTTTGAAGGAATTCTGAACATAGTTTCAAGTAACAGAATGAGAAGTCCTTCTACACAACAGAGGTAAAAACAAAGCACTTTTGACTAGAACATTAATCATAACAGCTATTTTTTTGCATTTAAATGTATTCTATTACAATGGTCAACACTTTTTGCATTGTTAATGTCATGCTAAATTTCTACTAAATATGTCTCTGAAAAAATACGTCGATATACTAACCTCACTGAGTTGAGACACTGTCTCTTGGGGATTATAGACCATTTATGCGGTGTAAGTGGTAAGTAATCGTGTGCAGTAATCTGTTGTAGGGATAACATGAAATGCTTAACTCCTTCATTCCATCTTCCTTCCCACCTCTCTCTACCTCCCTCCTTGCTACTTTATTAACTTTTTTGACTCTTAGGGCAGTTTATGGAAGGATCTGCTTAAACTCAACATAGATCTATCTTTGACTTCCCTATCTAATGACTTCCCTCTACACCTTACTATTTAAAAAAAAACAGTATCCCTATATACTTCTGTATGTAAATAATTGTGGAAAAACAGTTTTTAGAATACAAAGAAGACATACATTTAAAAAAATAAACAAAATATCAATACTCTGCAGATTTGCAGAATGAGTAAAAAAACGAGAGAATTTTTCATAGCATCATCTTATAGAGCAACGCTGTCCTAGTGAAATGAAATGTGAACAGCATATAAACTTTTTTAATAGTCATTAAAAAAGTAAACGAGGTGAAATAACTTTAATAACATCTTTTATTTAACTCTAAATATCTGACCTATTTTATTTGTACCTATAATTAATATGACATTATTCTCACTCTAAATAATATTAACAAGGTATTGCATATTTTTTAAAAATATTATTGTTAAGTATAGCATCATTTGGGAATTCGCTCATAGCTGACCCTCCAGCAGGTTTTCAGAGGCAGTATATCACATGAGAGGATGCTGTCCGTCCTCCCACAGAGAAGCTGGTGGATTAAAACCACACACCTTTGGGATTGCAGCACAGATTCTTACCACTAGGCCACCAGAGCTCTAGGGAGGGAAAAACTAAAACCAGGACCAAATGGAAAAATGCCTCTTGAAGTTCAAGATTCACAGGGTATAGCTGACTGCAGGGCTTAATCAGATTTGAACAATTGAGTAAGAACTGAATGAAAAGCCTTAGAGATATGATTGCTAAATCAATGTTTCTAAGAAAGCCTCAAGGGATGGTGAGTCTCCTTGCCAGATTTTCTCTAAAACTGCAGCTTGACCCTGGAGCCCAAGATGCTTATTCCACTTCTCTCCTTACCCCTGTGCCTACCTTCAAGAGCCCCATGAAATGAACTCAACTGAATTAAGCCCCTACTAGGCAGTAATTCTCTTCTTCCCGGAATATGTTTTATAATGTGCTGAGCCCATTACCAATCTACAGAGGAGAGCAGAAGCTGTGATCAGATTTGATTAGTACCAACCAATTAAATTACTCTGATAGCTCAAAAATTAAGTTTTGGACACAGAAAACGGCTTTTCTTCTTCCCATGTTCTTTGTCTTCTACTTTTTCAATTTCATGCATTCCTTACAGTTCTGCCAAAACCCTACTGTAATTACAAATAATTATAAAATTGTATTTCTAATTGAAATTGTTTGAGAGTGTTGGCACATATGGGACGCTGTACTCTGTGACTGCTGAGACAGAGGGAGTGCAGAGTTAAGGCTTTTAAGATAAGAGAGCTGGGTAGGAAGCAGCTGGCTGGAAGCAGGCCTGCTGGCTCCAGAGCCTCTGGTAGCTCTGATAACGGAGTTTGCACTCAACCCCCATCTTTGTGTTGATCCCTGGTTTTTCCCTGGTGAGGACTTACCAACAGAATCATGATGTGATTGCTTTTCGCTCGACACAGGAAGAACACAACTCTGGCTCCTCTAACTACAATGCAGTCAAACATCCTCCCTCTGCTGGAGGCCTGTGGTTACATCCCCTTCAGAGAGGCCTCCAGGATCAGAGGAGGCAGACTTCTGACTTTCTGGCACCAAAGCAAGGGCACGTGCACTTCAAAAGTGCACAGGGTTCAGTTGTGCTTTGTTCTTAAATTGTGGATTATCTTTCTCTCTTCCATAAATAGAATAACTGTGTTTTTATTTTCAAATACATTTGACAGTTTTCTTAAATATTTCTTAGAGTTCTTAAATATTTCATAGTTATTCTTAAAGCACAGCACACTGTTTTTTATGTCTCATTTCAGAACTACTGTTGTTGTTGGGTACTGTTGAGTCATAGCCGACCCATCGCTGACCCTCCAGCAGGTTTTCAGAGGCAGGGGAGGAAATTGTCCATCCTTCTACTGTAGAGCCGCTGCTGGATTCAAACCCTTCATCTTCAGGGTTACAGTGAAGATTCTTGCCACTAGGCCACCAGAACTACACAAAGTTAAATTGCTCTGATTTACCTGTAGATTTCTCGAGTTTGTGGTCTTCACTACAGAAGGATTCCTACTCTTTCTCCATTGCACAAAATAAAGGACACTCAGAGTAACAAAATAATTAACTGGGAATTCTCTCTCCTCATTTCCCATTCCGTTTTCATTGTAATCCCAAGAACAACATATACTTTCCTCATCAAGGTATACGCCCAAATAGAAAAAAAATTATGTACGAGATGGCCTATAAAGGGGTAAGTGGTTCTATAATAATTTACAACTTGTTTTTTTTTTTCTTTAGTATTTTGTTTGTTGTTCCTTAATCTATGACAGAGAACTGTTCCAACTTTCACAAAGAAATGTAAAGATACCTGGCTAAATGGAGGTGATCTGGTGTGTGCTTGGTAGAGATTTAGACAGGAAGCAGATGCCCCAGCTTGACACTAATTGTCTGCTTAACACAGCAATTTAATTCTATGACAATGAAGTTCTCAATAAATAAAGCAAGGGACTGTTATTTGTCTTCTAATCTTAGTGTAAGGATCAAATGAAGAAATAAACACATAAGTTCTTTGCAACTTGCAAATAATTATAAAGAATAATGGCAAATTGCTCTCGTAATTATTATTTTAGAGTATTTCCTATGTGCCAGGTACCTTGTTAAGCACTTTCACAATTTAACCCTCACAATTACCATGGAGGTTAGTATTCCTATTTCTCTCATTTTCTTCCTGTAGAAGAAACAGAGCCACTAAGGACTAAATATTAAAATGTTAACATTATAACAGCAAGAGGAAGAGCTATGAACAAATCAATAGTCTGATTCTTTTCAAAATACCTTACTGCCCTTTCGTTGGAATCAACTTATAACTGATCCTCCTTTGCTGGTGTATTTGAACCATCAGAGAGGTGCGACCTTTGGGAAAACAAAGCAATTCTGCATGGCCTAGGCCACCAGAGTTCCCTTGATTGACTCCAGAGCCTTACACTGTGCTTCCTAATTGCTGATTAGTGCCAATCAGTTGGCACCAACTCATAGCTGGCCCTTTGGTGGGTTTTCAAGAGGCTGTAAATCACACATGAGGTATATGCTTCTTTTTTCTCTCCTGAGAAGCTGCTGTTGCATTCAAACCACCTGGCTTTTAGTTGGTAGCTCAACTCCTTACCCACTGATAGAAATTTAAAAACTATGTAATCTCAGAACAAAACTGGAAAAATCTGCCATTATGGTAAAGAAAGCTCACCCCTAAGAAAGTCTTTATTGAATAGTATGAACAGTTACAAAGAAATTTTGAAAAATCAAAATAGACAAGCCCACGGCCATAAAGTTGATCCCAACTCTCAGTGACTGTGCAGGACGGTGGAGGACTGTCCATGGGGGTAGCCAAGGCTGTAAAGCTTTAAGGACGCAGGCTGCCTCATCTTCTTTCTGCAGAGCCGTTGGTGTGCTTGAACCGCTGACTTTCTGGTCAGCAGCCAAATTCTTTAAGGACAACACAACTCAAGTCTTAGTGCTTCCAAAATTAATTAAACAGTCAAGAGCAGCCAGGGCAGTGGCCTTTCTTCCACACATGTGGAAAGGGCAGTCTTGAAAGACAACAAAACTACTCACATGTACAAATACATTCTTTCAGACTTCATAAGAATTAAGACAATAGTGAGTATAGCCAGCCAAAACCACTGATATATATCTAAAGCCTCACACAGAATACTCGCACAAAAAAATTTACTGATACTGCTATCCATAAATCTTCAAACAAGGACCAATTGGTATAGGCAAGGCCAAATGAGTACCTTAACTTGGGAACAGATAATGTGATTGTGTAGTTTTTATCTCAACTTATTGGGCTGGACTAGGCTGGACAGCAGTTGAAAAAACAAGTTATTTGACTTCATCTCAATGAAAATGATCATTGATTTTGGTTAACAAGGGAAAGGGGCCAGAAAGCTTAAGTGTAGTGATAAACTATGTCTGTAAACACCCTCTGTACCTGCTACCTGGAGAAGACCTACTGGCTTCTTTCTCCTTTTCTTTCCATTTCTTTCCCCTGTTGGAATTTCTTCGCAAAGGTGCCCTGTAATGACAGGAGACACAGGACATTGAGATTTTTCCTCCGTTAATTTCCCTTAGATAGGGGACTTTTGATATGATGCACTTACCCCAGATCCACAAACTTCCTCTTAATTTTTCCTCCTTGCCCCACCAATGAACTGGATACTCTTGGTGATTTGGAAACTTTGGCATCATCTAGAATATACACATATGTGGGGGAAAGACCACTTGTTATTTCAAAGCTATGAATCAAAAGTCAGCACATTATCTGAATATACTGGCTGTGCCTAAATTCCCAAGTGTAAATTATTTGAAAGGACACATTTTTTATAATTTCAGGAAATACTTCTATGCATTGGAAAGTGGAACAGTGAATAGGGACGATAGAGAATTGATGCCTTTGAGTTGGGGTGCTGGAGAAGAGTGATGAATATATCTGGACTGCTAGGAGGACAAACAGATTTGTCCTGGAGAAGGTGAAGCCAGAATGCTCCTTGGAGTCAAGGATTCTGAAGCTTCGTCTGACATACTTTGGGCATGTTACAAGGAGGGACTGGTCCTTGGAGAGGGACATCATGTTTGGCAGAGTGGAGGGGCGGCACAGGAGAGGAAGACCCTCGATGAGATCAGTCAATTCTGTGACTGGGGTTGTGGGAATGAGTGTGTTTGAGACAGTGAGGTTGGCACAGGATAGACCAGCATTTAGGGCTCTTGTACATAGGGTCGCTATGAGTCGCAAGCGACTTGATGGCACATAACAACAAACAACAACAGCTGCACTGGGGAGTATTCAGTGAAGCCAGCAGAGGTCCTGCTGGGTCTAATCTTCGTCACAAAGATCTTTCACTTCAAACATACTGGAATGGGCAAGTAAGCAAAAAGAAAGATTATCAAATCATCCTTTGCATTCAAATCAGGGAACAAAACTATCTTTCTCTTTCCCTCTGGCTCCTGCTCCTCGCTTCCGATGTCTGGACATGTCCTTCATGCTTTGGTTAGTGTCGTTTGACACTTGCCTTGGGTTAGTGTTTCCTGACATTTCCCTCATAAGTCCAAAACCATGTGGAATGTCATCACTGGGAATCTGGGAAATTTTGAAAGAAAATTAAAATGGAATCTTTCCCATTTATTCTCAAATGCAAAAAGTCAGACTCAAAGAGTCAGACAATCAACTTGTGAAAGGTCCCTCACAGACTCATAAGAGTCAGGGTTGGAGCATCTTTTGGCCTATCATGATGCAGAAGAGGTCAAAAATCTCCTGCATGTGTGCAGCTGACTGATCTTTATCTCTTTGAGTTACTGCAGGAAGAAGCTGCTGGAAGAAGAGGACAATAGACAGGATGTCAAAAAGTATTTGGGGGTAGGGGGTGGGGTTTGGGGAGGT